CCTGCCCCAGCCCAGCCCAGCCCTGCCCAGCACCTTCTGCCTTAACATACACAACTTTATGAGAAGGTTCTTGTTATGTACCATCAAGTCCAGTGCGACTCATGATCACCCTGCGAACAACGGATCTGACCACAAAAATGGATATGTTTTGGAGAAACTAAGCCAGAGTGCTCCTTGGAGGTAAAGATGGTGAAGTTTCTTATAGTTTGGACATGTTGTTGTAATGTGCCATTGAGTCCCTTGTGACTCACAACGATCTTATGTACAAGAGCCCTAAACCCTGCTGCTCTATCCTGTGCCAACCTCACCGTCTCCAACACACTGCCATCACCCCAATTACAGAATCGATTCATCTCATTGAGGGTCTTCCTCTCCTGCACTCTCCCTCCTCCCTCCCAAGCATGGCATCCCTCTCCAAGGACCAGTCCCTCCTTGCAACATGTCCAAAGTATGTCGGACAAAGCTTCAGAATCCTTGACTCCAAGGAGAAGCAGCCCGGCTTCACCCTCTCCAGGATGAATCTATTCGTTTTCTTAACAGTGCATGGTGTTGCACTCTTCTCCAACACCACAGCTCAAAAGCATCAACTCTCTATCATCCCTAGTCTAGCACACGATGCCTCAACCACTTTGTGGTTAGCTAAATGCTTAAACACTGTACCACCAGGACTCAAATCTCTATATACAAAATTAGAACAGTGGTTCCTGGACCTGGCAGCACGTTAGAATTCCCCAGGGACCTTTACATAAACATACATTATGGAGTGTACCCCCATCCCCACTCCCACTCTAGACTCAGAATCTCATAGAGTTCTGGATTCTGTGGTTGAAAGTCTCCAGGAGACTCTGATGCCACCATCCACAGAGGACATCAGTTCTCCCACTGGCTGTACAAACTGAGTTATTCCAATTTTACAATTAAATAAAATGAGACTTGAAAGATTGGAAGTGACTTGACCAGGGTCATAGATTTAGTGACAAAATCAAAACTAGAGAAAATATGAAGCCAAGCCATAGTATCTATTAAAAATATAGATCCCTGGTTGGTAGAGTGAGAAAGAGAAAGACCCTTATCCAGATGGATGGCACAGTGGCTACACCAGTGGACTTCAGCATAGCAAGGATTGTGAGAATAGGGCAGGAGTGGACAGTGTTTGCCTTTGTGTGTACAGGGTTGCTGAGTCAGAGCCAATTTGATAGCCCTAAGAACAGCCTGCGTTGTGCAGATGACAAACTTGCTCACTGAGACTGAGGAGGACTTGAAGCATTTGCTCAGAGACTAAGAGGACTGCAGCCTTCAATATGGATTGCATCTCCACATCAAGAAAACAAAAATTCTCATCACTAATGAGAATCATAGTCATGATAGATAGAGAGAAGATTAAAGTTGTTACTGATTTCATCTTGCTCAGATCCACAGTCAACACTTGGCACCAGCAGTCAAATCAAAGGATGAGTTGCAGGGAGGTCTAGTGGCCTACTGGCAAGTAGGTGCTCTATAATCCCAGAGATACACAGTTCAAATCCACCAGATCCTCTGCTGGGGAAGGAGGGGCAGTCTCTTCCTGTATCAGTCAGATGCGATTTGATGGTACACACACAAAAACGAATAAAATTTTTTAAAAAAGGAAAAAAAATTAGTTGCATTGGGAAAATCTGCTGTCAAGGACCTCTCCGGAGTGCTAATGAGCAATGCTGACCATTTAGAGACTACAGTGTGCCTGACCGAGGCCAAGATCTCAATCTTACTGTGCATCTGAGAGCTGGACAATAACTAAGGATGGCAGAAGAAGAATCTATGCTTTCAGGTTGTGGTGCTGGAGAAGAGTATTGAACATGCTATGGACTGCTGAAGGAACAAGCAGGTCTGTTCTGGAGAAGGTAAAACCAGCTTGTTCCTTGGAGGCAAGGATTTTGAGGTCTGTCTCATATACTTTTGCCAAGAGGGACCAGTCTTTGGAGAAGGACATCATGCTTAGAAGGGTAGAGGGTCAGCACAGGAAGGAAGACCCTGTATGTGATGAATTGAAACTGTGACTGTAGCAATGGGGTCAAGTTGTCAGAGATGCTGAGGTTGGCTCAGGATATGGCAGGGTTCAGAGCCATTGTGGATAGGGTCACTATGAGTCATAGTCGAGCGAAAAGAACAAAATAACAACAGCAACCGCAGGGACTAAAGTCTCCTGACTGCAGTGGTCAGGGACAGGCCCTGTGCTCTGCCCAGTGCACCCACAGTGAAGGCATTTCACTCCTGGCTTTGCAGGCTGTACACTGAGAGCATCACTGGCTTTCACAGCTGCTACAATGTCACCGAGTCATGTACTTCTCATAGCGACCCTATGAACATGTGGACCCTGTCCTGTGCCAACCTTTAGCTGTGGAGCTGGAACTACAACCAGCTAGTTCTGACTCAAGGAGACCCCTGTTAGGATTTAGAACCAAGAGGCGAAAGTTTATGCTTGGAAAGTTAAGCCAACAGAACCAGGAAGCCAATACTGATGTGCACCAAATTGGTGCTTTGGGCACCTGAATAATGGCAGAAGTAGTGGACACTTTGGGTGTATGACTGACGTCAGAGAACAGGAACCAGAATGGGAGCCACTCATTAAACTTTGAACCTTCTTTGGAATCATCTCATTGACCAAACTCCAGCAAAGCCCATCCAGGGAAGGCAGCCCTAAATAGACTCACCTGAGTAGCACTGGCCTTCCCTCCAAATCTCCTTTGGGGATGTAGCTTTCTAATCTTTACTATTTTACCCTCATTTCTGTCTCCTCGTCTCTTCTTGTCCTTGTGCTCTAATTTAAAACTTCTGCCTATACGTTAATGCTCCAGACACTAAAGTTTGCACTCCCAAGAAACACTAAAATCGCTGTGTGCTGTACCATCTGGGTCCTTAAATACAGCTCTCCAGCTTCTTCCGCTGGCTACAATCCTTTTGTCTGTGTGAGAAGGGCAAACTAGGACATCGATTGCACAATTAACACCCCCACGTGTCAAGAAAGTGGAGCTCCATAAAGTTTTCAATTAATAGTTTTTCAGAAGTACAACAGAGAGGTAGATCTTTCAGGCTCTTTTGGGTGGAGTTTCAGTCAATCATCTAGCACATATTTCACTAAGGACTCCTTAGTAGTACTGGTTAGAATCTGTTTTTTTAAATTCTTCCTGAGAGTGGAAACAGCACCTGACAGGTTTGCCACGTTTGCTGAGATTCAGTGAGGAACGGAGGTAAAGGACCAGGCCAGGCCGACAGTCATGCAGCCAGAATTACACAATCTTGTGCTCTCTCCTTTCCTCTCAGGAACCAGTGATGACACCTCCCAGGTATCTCAACTGCTTCTCAAGAGAGGCTGCCAAGCAGTGGGTTCACAGCATGTGATAAAACTGGGCCACAGAAACTGGGCAGGAAACTGAGTCAGAGCTACAAAGTGGAATAGCAGGGATTTGAACCCAAGACCTCTCTCCAGTCCACAAGGTTCCATGCACAGAAATCACACATTTCACACGAAAACCTGCTGACCCCCACCTCACAGTGGCCCATTGTCAGTAAAGGCAAGTTCTGCACCAAGGAGAGTTTGACAAAATGATTCACCTAATGACTGTCTCAAACTGACCAACCCCCACATGCCCAAAATGAGGCACAGCATTGCAAAGGTCATCTCCCAGCAAAGCCCAAGAAAAAACACTTCAAGTGACTCTCAGGCAGCATAGTTTATTGTTTCATGTAAAAACTGGGAGATCAAGGCCACAATGCTGTTAAACATCCCCCTCCTTCCCACCCACCCTGTAGAAATAACCACCCCAACCCTGATATAAAAACATACTGGAACACAACAAGATACTGCAATTCAGGCGAAACCGGGAACAGAGCATGGCTCCAACGAAAACAAAGGAGAAACACGAGACACAACATCTTCAGACGTTTATACAAAACTCGCCGTGACCTGAGGGGAAGTGGTCACGGCAATGTCAATGAGGAGACGGCAAACCAGGGCATTAGGAGAGTTAGGCTGCTTCTGGCTGCGTCCTCTGGGCTCTGCTGCAGGAACTGGGATGCTGAGTTCTGGTCACTGGATTGGATGTGCTTTTTTGGAGGAGGGAGATGCTGCAAGGCCCACCTCCTCCTTGGTAGACAGGCCTCGGGGAGATGGAAGGGTCTTGGAAAGGCCCTCTGCCCAAGGAAGGGAAGCTAGCCACAGAGATGTCCCCTCTCCAGAGAGAGGACCTCTCAGACAGTTCATGGCTCAAGGAGCCAGCATGACGCGTTCACATGGCATATAGTCCGACGGCCACCGTGGCCACAAGAAAGCTGAGTGTCAGGACCCATCGGATGAGGGGAGCCCGGGAGAGGATGTTCAACTGGGGCTTCCCTCTGGACGTTTCAGTGGGAATGGGCGCTGAAAGAGAAAGGAGAGACCGTGTCAACATCAGGTGGATGGAACAGGGTGACTTGTGTCACTGATGAGTCTTCACGACTGCAATCCCTGCTCCATGCCAGAATTCTGCTAAAGCACAAATGAATGTGGGTCCCGAGCTGCTGCTTGATTACCTCCAGGGATGGGAGTCTTACTCTTTTCTCCAAACTCCTTTACACACATTTAAGTTACTGAGCTCATTTAAGCTACCAAAGAGCTCATCTGTGTGTGCTCATTATCCCTACATGCTGTTGAGTCACTTTTGACCCTCAGTGGTCCCAGGGGACAGAGCAGAGCTGCTCCACAGGGTTTCCTCTGCTGGCATCTTCACAGGAGCAGACACCAGGTCTTCATGGAGCTACTGGTGGTTCCATTAGCCGCTAAGCACTCAAACACTGTGCCACCAGGACTCCTTTCTGGCTCTCCATCCCATGAGAAATATTGCCCGAGACATTGCTGGCACACTAGGACACACAGGCACACATTCCATAAAATACCAGAGTGCATACACCGTGTAACTTTTAGAAAATAACACATATTCATGGGAAAACGGGAAAGAGGCCAAGTACTAGTATCATACAAAAACAGCTGTCATCTTGGGGACCTCCTAAAAGGAGCCCCGACCCCTGGGACCTCCAGGACGACTGTACGGGGTCCAAGTCCCCAAGCCCACCAGGTGGCCAGTCTCACTGGAGCTATTAACCTACCACAGGACAGCAAGTACCCCTCCAGAGGGCAAACCCCCGCAGTCCAGGGTGCTGGCCCACGTGGGCCAGGACAGGCCCAAGAAGAGGACAAGGCAGGTTGCAGAATCAGCAGTTGAGGGTCCTTCTGTGCTCCACCCCACACATAAAGCCATTCTCTCTCATGGTCTTAATGGTGAGGGGATATTACAGATACTTAACACCTCCACCCACAGTCCATCTACACAGAAACGGCCTTGGAAGGTCCTGTGGCATGTAAGGGACGTATTAACAAGTAGAGAAGTTGCTGGAGACAGGCCTCCAATTCCCTGCCCCATATTAGGTAGCCTGTTCAGGACCATGAAAGAGCCTGTGTCAAGCAGGGTAGAGACATTCATCCAGGATTTCTGAGGGTCCTTTCACTCAGGCTCTCACTCTCAAGTCAAAGAACTCTCAAGAACTAGCAAGTGATCTGGCCTGACCCCTGTGTCTTTCACCCGCAGCCCGCTTCTCATGGTAAAGCATTCAGAAGACACGAGTATCAAGGAGACTGACAGGGTGGAGCCCCGCCCCCCTCCACTAGGAGCCTCACCGGGGCACCCCGAGTCCTCACCTTGCTCCTGGCTTCCCTGCCGCTGGCGAAGCCCTGGTGCAGTGGGGGGGCCCTGGTTCTCTGAGTCCTGGGCCAGCAGCTCCTGCAGCTCCTCAAACAGCTAAAAGACAAAAGGCAAACACCCCCTTCTCAGAGATGGCAGGACCTTCAGTTTTATTACGAAATAGCAATATTTGGGAATAACAGAATTGTAAGAAAAATATCCCATATTATTGTACTTTTACTCAGCTTCGGAGATAAAATGTTACAAATAGAGTTGACTCCCCAGTATGCTCATCTCACTTCCATCCCTAAAAGGTCTCCAGAATTTGGAAATCACTGCAGATATTTGTGAGCTTTTCCACTGCCCCTACCCAATGGACTGATTTGCTTATTTTGAAGCCATAAATAAGGGGTATCCTGATCCATGGAGTCCCTGGCACCTCCTGACAGCTGTGCCTTTGGTTTGGTTGGGTGGCACAACAGGGTATATGCGAGGCTGCTAACTCCAAGGCCAGCGGTTTGAATCCGCCCAGAGATGCCTCAGCAGGACGGCCTGGAGACCTGTTTCCTAAAGGTCACAGCACCACTGTCCTGACACCCACAGAGCCGCCACCACCAGAGGGCATGTGAGGGCAACTTTCTGGGCCCACTCCTGTATGCATGTCAAAGAGCACTTGGACTGTGATTCTCACGGCTCACACACAACAACAGCAACTAATGTACACACAGCTTGTCCCGGACAGTCACTGTGACAAGAGAATTCACTGACGCAAATACAACTCTCATAGACAACTCTAAATGCAGATTACGTTATGTCACGTACAGCTGAGCTGGAACTGACTGACTCACAGCTGACCACCCTCCAGCGGGTCTTTAAGGTTGTAAACTGCATGGGTGGAAATTGCCCATCTTTCTCTGCCGTGGGGCAGCTGGTGGATTCGAACTGTACGCTTTTTGGTTGGTAGCACAACTCCTTATGACTAAACTGGCAGAACCTAAAGCTCCTTAAAAGAGGGTTGTTGTTATTGTTGTGATGTCCCATTGAATTAGAACCAACCCATAGGATTTTCAGAGGCAGTTGACTGCACGGGAGGAGATTGCCTATCTGTCTCCCGCAGAGCAGCTGGTGGATTCAAACTGCGTGCTTTCAGGATTGCAGCACAGCTTCTTGCTTCTAAGGATCCCTGGTGGCTCAACAAGTAAACACTGAGCTGCTAACCTAACACTTAATCTAAACCTGCTGTTTCACAGAAGAAAAGACCTAGCAATCTCCCACAGAAATGACACCCAGGAGGCCCTGTGTGGGGCAGAGACCTGGGAATACACTCAATGGCTTCCAGCAACAACATCAACATTCCCATTTCATAGGTGAGGAAATTGAGGGGCTCAACCAAGGGACTTGTCATATCTCTCAGCTAGCAAGTGGCAGAACTGGAAGCCTGGGTCTGGGATCCCTGCCTTAGTGAGGAGCCACAGAACCTTCCCCACTGGAAGGGAAGTCGCCCTTGGAGCAGGGGCTGGGGGAGATGGTGACCATCCTGGGCTGCCCGGCCCTCACCTGGATGTTGAGCAGGAAGGCAGTCTTGGCCTCTTCCACAACCCTTTGCTTGACCTCAGGGCTCATCTCCAGCACGTTCATCCGGGCACGGTAGAGCTGCTTGAACTTGGTGGCGCTGTCGATGTTGGGGAAGGTGAAGAAGGACAGGCCCTCACCGGAGCTGGGCAGGTCTAGGGCCTTCTGAGCAATCTTCTTGAGGACCTGGCCCCCCGACAGGTCGCCCAGGTAGCGTGTGTAGGTGTGGGCCACCAGCAGCTCGGGCTCCTGGCGCCCCACCTCGTGGAGGCGTTGCACGTAACTCCGGGTGGCAGCTGTGAAGGGAATGGCCTCCCGCCACTCGGGTCCGTACCAGAAGACCATGTCCTGCTGCAGGGCGGCCTGGCGGTGCAGCTCCTCTGGGAAGTAGAGAGGGGAGTACACTGGATTCTCCTTGTTGCGCTCAATCTCCTCCTCCAGGGCCGTGTAGATGTGGTACAGGGAGGCCATGATCATCTGAAGCCAGAGAGGGAGGGTCAAGCCACACTCACGAAGCCATCACCACCCTCTCCCCTGCTGCAGGAGCAAGGCCCCATCTGGCCCCCGGGTAAAACATGTGACCTAGCTGACTCCTTATAAAACCCCACCAAGAAGCTGCTATTACCTCTTTACAGAAACTAAGGCTCAGAGAGGTTAGGGAACTTTGAGGTTGCACAGCTTGCAAGATGTGGGAGCTAAGCTCAGTGACTGCTAGGAGCTCCCCTATTCTGAGCCAGGGTGGGCCTGTATGAGGGTGTTCAGAGCAGGCAGCTGGGGGTGTCTGATTCTCCTTTCTGAAAACCCCACTCTGAATCCAACTACCTCTGGACTCTGAACTCAGGGAGGGGGCCTGAATCACCTCCACTCAGGGAAACGCATTACCTATTAATAGCCCGTGTCTGAAGGAGCACTAAGTCTAGGCATTTTGGTTGAGATTTTGAACTTATTTCTAGGTCATAAACACTCATAGCCGTCCCGCTCCAAACACGCAAGGCAAAGAACAGCCAGGCAGCCTGAGTTTGACAGTCTGACAGGCAGGATCTTGCCTGGGCCCAGCTGGTCCTCAGCTGTGTGACCAAGGACACACTGCTCACCCTCTCTGGTCCTAGCTTTCCTGTCCTAGAGCCCACGAGATGCTGAGAGGACTGTGTGACTCTGCAGGCCAGGCCCTGGCCCCCTCCCCTGGAAGGACGTAATCAGAAGAGGGTGAAAGGGAGGGGGGCTGCTGTGAGAGACAAGTGTGGGCCCGACTCAGCACTTAGCACTCGAACCAAAGAAGCCAAAATGCACCCCCGTCAGCATAATCTAAGGTCCCTGATCCGTCCCAAGGCACAGGGTTCCCTGGCAGATCTTTGTGCCACTCTGAACTTGGTGGCTTAGAAGCAAAATCTAAAGTCTGTAGTTAATGGGACAGGTTATTCTAGTGTCTGCTCCCTCCACCTCCACCAACCGTTGATAAATAGATCATTTGAGTGACTCCAATATAATTCATAAATCTTCACTCAGGTTACAGAAATTAATTCATTGAAAAAATAGACAAGTGAAATAGGAAAAAGAAGGAATCTCCCGTAGAAAAGGACCAGCACAGGTATTCAGTTAGAGCCGTACTGCCACTCGGCTTCTCCATAGCGTAGACTTGCTGTGTGACCTTGTAAGCCACCTGCCCTCTCTGAGCCTCAGTGTCATCCCCTAGAAGATGATGGCCTTGGACATGTCCTTCTGGAACCCCAGTATCCCTGGCTCCAGTTGAAAGCAGACCTGAGCACTGAGCACAAACACCACATCCTCTAGCGCTGGCCGCACAAGGTCACATACCTTAAAATCCTCCCGGGTCACCTGGCCCTTCTGAAAGTTCCTCATAAACTTGACATTCTCTGCTTGGGTGTGTACCTCCTTGGTGGCCTCCTTGAGGGCCTCTGACAGGTCCTGGGGCATGCTGTGGAGGGAAGAGAGGGACATGAATGACAATGGCTATGGGCAGGGAGCTTCCCAGCCTTGGCTGCTGGCGGTTCCGCCCACCTGTATGAGCACCTTCAGGGTATAAACCAGATGCCACTGAGGCAGCGCTGACTGTGTTTATGCTCCACAAGAGTGGTCCAGGTGGCTTTCAAGGGCTGGCTTTTCAGGACTAAAACTCCAGGACTTTCTTCCAAGGTCCCTCTGGGTGAACTCGAACCACCAACCATTGGGTTAACACCCAGAGAGACACCTACAAGAGCACGCCTGTAGAAATGCAACTGCCCAATCTAAAGCACAGGCCACATTCCTGACCAAAGACCATACATACACTTCAGTTACACTGTAAACCTGCTTCAAGTATTTTATTGCTGTATAACACTTCCCAAGGCTGAGAGGGGAAACCCTGTCACCAGTTTTTCTCTACAGAGAAGAGGTAGATCTGCACAAGCCAGGGAGAAGGGGTGGCTCGAACCTTCATATTTAACATCTTCACTGTGCAGGACAACATTTATACTCCTATGGTGTTTGTTTGTATTGCTGATGTTTCAGATACAAACACATCTAATTTATACTCATCAAACAAGCCCTCGGGTTGAAAAGATTAAGAAACTGCTTCATTTACACAAAAAGTCTGCAGTGTGTCAAGCCAGCCCTCCAGATAATTATTTCTACGGTCCTATTATCAAAGGGCGTTCTGGTGACCTAGTGGTAAGAAGCTGCACTGCAATCCTGAAGGCACGCGGTTCGAATCTACTAACTGCTCCGCGGGAGAAGGATGGGCAATCTCAAATAGTTTATAGCTTCTTAAAACCTGCTGAGGGGGAGGGAGGAGTTCGGACTTAATGGCCCTTTGCAATAACAATTATCATCAGAATTACTTTTCCCTTCTCTCCAGCACCCCTTTCGATTATATTTCCTGTGGATTGAAATTTTCACAACTTGGGAAAAGGAAATGAGCAAGCCTTGGAGGTGAGAGGGAAGATCCGGGTTCGAATCGCAGGTCTGCCCTTTGCTAGCTATATAGGGACCTCAGAGGCACCGTGTCTCTGAATTGTAAAATGGGAAACCAGACAACCGTGATGTCAAACGGTTTGCTCTTCACCAACATAAAAGCTGTTGGCTCAAACACCCTCAGCAGAACCTCTGTTTCCATAAAGATTAGCCAAGTTTAGGGGGTAGTTTAGCCAAGAAAACTCTAAGGCGCAGTTCTACTCGGTAACACATGGGGTCGCTAAGAGTGACAGCTGCTCCATGGCAACAGGAAAGTATTTTATCAACTGTGCTACAGCTGCTACAAATGAACCCCCCAGGTGGTTGAGAGCCGGGCACTTCTCACCCGGGCGCAGGAAGCCTAGACCAGGGCAGAGAGCTCTTCTCTCTGACACACACACACACACCAGCTGGACACCCACTCCCCGTGGGGCACGCCCTGAGTTGAGACAGTCACCCATCATTTGCCGGGTACCAGGTTAGGAAGTCATCACCCAGCCCTTCAGGGGCCCCACCAGCCAGGGTTAGAGAGTGGGCCAGGCAGGATTCGAACGAACCCAGCTCTTCTCAATTTCCAAACTTGCCCAAGCTTTCCCAGGACCTCAGGTTTGAAAATCAAGCCTCGCGGGATTGGCGTCCCACCGCCCTGGGTCCCCTCTCCCACACACTGCCTGCGTCCCGCCGCGCTGGATCCCCCTTTCACCCACACTGCCTGCGTCCCGCCGCCTCATGCTCACCTGTCGCGCTGGGGACGCTCCATGTGGCCGGTGGCGCTCGGGTGGCTGGGTGCTGGCTCCGCAGCGGTGGTGCTGGGTGCTGGGTGGTGCTGGGTGGTGCTGGCTCCGCGGCGCACGGGGACAGGGCGGCTGGGTGGCTCCGGGGAGCACGGAGACTGGGCGACTGGGTGGCTCCGGGGAGCACGGGGACTGGGCGACTGGGTGGCTCCCCGGTGCTCGAGAATGGACAGCGGTGGCAGCTCACTGCTGAGCCGGCCGCGCGGCCCCATTTATCTTCCGCGAGGATCACGTGGCCCGCAGGCCAAACAGCTGATGCTGCTCCGGGCCGGGTTGCGACACTCACTGGCCCGCGCCGCTCGCCCCGCCAGCTGGGCGGGGATTTGGAGGACGGTCATATGACTCCTGGAAAACAAAGCCAGGCCACAGGATGTGTGTTTTTGACAAAAACCGCACAACTTCAGGAAATCTCAGAGCAGCTTGCTGGCCAGGGTTTGGCCCCTTCCAAAACACTCCTCTCACTCACCCCCCCACCCCCAGTATGGAACGTTCCCCAGGAATCTCGAAGATTCCGAAGAGCTGGAGGCCAGCTTCTCAGACCAAGTTAAGCTGTGCAAACCCCAGGGTATGACTAACCCCAGGCCTTGGAGCCCTCTCCTCCTCCCTGATGAGGGCCTGACCCTATAATGTCACCACTCCCTCCCGTAGTCTTAGAGACTGTCATTTGAGCACCTACTAAGTGCTGAAGAACCCTGGTGACTTTAAACTCAGTTTGTCAATTTGAACCCAGCAGGCTCCCCACGCGGGAAAGATGTGTAGATGTGGCCGTCTGCCTCTGTCAAAACTAACGATCTTGGAAACGTGGAAGCCTTGGTCATTATGACAACAATATTTTGTTTGTTTTATTTACAGGCTGATGATTGTGTCATTTTCATGGTTCACCTCAGAACAGTGTTGCGATTGAGCCCTCCCATTTTATAGATGGGAGAACTGAGGTTCTCCAAGGCAGTGGCATACCCAGGATCACACAGTAAAGCAGGAAGCCACATCTAAAGCCTGTTTTATCCCATCCACACCCCTACCTTCTCAGAGGCACTGCATGCCTCAGAGTCTCCGATCATAGGCCCGTCTAGAGTCTTTTCTGAGCTTCAAACCCTAGAGTTTTGACCTCAGGTAGTTTGAGATTTAAATTTGGCATGAAGATTTCAAAATTTGCTGCATATTTGCAGGTAAGGGGTTGGTGGTCTCTCAGAATGCAGCAAGGATTGAAGACGTCGAAGGAGCATGATTATCCCCCCCACCCCCAAAACAGGCTACATCCTGCCTGAGAGCTTAAAACAATTGTACAAAGGATTTCCAAAAACTAGCAGGAATCTGCATTTTGAGTGGGCAAGTCCAGTTGCCAACTTAACTACCTGAGGCTTTCCTCTGAGCTTTCAAACTGTCCCAGAAGCTGTTTCCGGAAGTTTCTTCAGTATCCTCACCAGTCTTCAGAATTAGAAAACTACTCTGATTGCAGTTGAGTCAGAGCTAACTCATAACTGACCCTCCAGCAGGTTAACGGAGGCTGTAAAGCAAATAGGAAGAGATTGCTCTTCTCTCTCTCCCGGAGCCTTGGATTTGAACTCCTGGAGAGGCCCCACCTTTGGGTTATAAGCACAACTCCCCATGGCCTAGGCCACTAGCGATCCCTAGGAAATGACTCTAGTTAGGTGCCATGGAATAGACTAGGAGAACAGATTCAGCACTTGCGCTATCCCGTGCCATCCTCACCATCTCCAACATGCCCAATGTTGGAATAATCCCTGTGTCAAGCCGTTTTCTTGAGGGTCATTCTTTCTTTCACTGATCCCTCTACTTTTCCCAGCATGATGTCTTTTTCCAAGGACTAGTCTCTCCTGATAATATGCTCTAAATGTGTGAAATGGAGTTTTGCCATCTTTGCCTTTATGGAGCAACCTAGTTGCACTTCTTCAAAGACAGAGTTGTTCTTTTGGTGGTCAGTGTATTCAATAGTCTTCTTCAATATCACAATTCAAAGGCATTGATTTGTCGTCACTATTCATTATTCATTGTCCAACTTTCAGATGTATAGGAAGCAATTGAAAAGACTTTGATCGGGTGTACCTTAGTCTTTAAACTGACATCCTTGCTCGTTAGCATTTTAAAGAGATCTTTGACAGCAGACTTTCCCAATGCAACATTTCTTTTCATTTGCTGATTGCTGCTACCATGAGTGTTGTTTGTGGATCCAAGTGAAATTCTTGACATAAGCCTTCTCTCCATTCATTATGATGTTGCCTATTGGTCCAAAAGGGAGCTCTAAAGGCTTAGTGGCAAGAAGTTATGTTGCAGTCCCAAAGATTGTGGTTGTTTTAAGTGCTGTTAAGTAGCAGGCGACTCATAGCAACCCTATGAATGAAAGTCCTGAACACCTCCTGTATAAATTTCATCCTTTCTCCAGGTTCATAGGGTTTCCAGAGGCAAGCTATTGTGGAAATGGATGCCACTCCTGCTTCCAAGCTTGTTTTAAACGGAGAGCTCCACCAAAAACTGTCCACCATGGGTAACCATTATCACATTGACTCATCCGTGTCCCAGTGTTCGGCTTCACAGCAACCACAAGTTACCTCTGTACAGCAAGTGGACATACCAGGGTTACAAGACCCTTATTCTAAGGTTGTTGTTGTTATGTGCCGTCGAGTTGTTTGCGACTCATAGCGACCCTATTACAACTGCCCTAAACCCTGCTCTATCCTGTGCCAATCACCTTGCCTCTGACACACCCATCCCGACTACCCCAATCACTGAATCAATCCACCTCATAGAGGGTCTTCCCCTCCTGCGCTGTCCCTCCACCCTACCAAGCATGATATCCCTCTCCAAGGACCTGTCTCTCCTTACAACATGTCCAAAGTATGTCAGACGAAGCCCCAGAATCCTTGCCTCCAAGGAGCAGCCTGGTTTAACCCTCTCCAGGATTAATCTGTTTGTTTTCTTGGCAGTCCAGGGTACATTCAATACTCTTCTCCAGCACCACAGCTCAAAGGCATCAATTCTCCTTCTATCTTCCCTAGTCATTGTCCAACTCTCTGATGCATAACAAGTGATTGCAAAGACCATAGCCTGTATTAGGTGCACCTTAGTCTCCAGAAAGACACCGTTGCTCATGAGTATTTTAGAGAGGTCCCTAACAGCAGACTTTCCCATCGCAATATGTTTTTTTATTTCCTGGCTGCTGGTGCCAAGAGTGTTGACCGTGGAGCCGAGGAAACTGTAGCTGTGAACAATCTCAATCTCTTCGCCATCCATCCTGATGCTAACAATTGGTCCAGTGGTGAGAATCTTTGTCTTCTTGACATAGAGCCTCAGTCCATGTGGTTCAAATTCACCAACTGCTACCCTGGAGGAGAGGGAATCTCCTCCCATGTGATTTACTGCCTCTGAAAACCTCCTGGAGGGTCCGCTATGGTCATTTCTGGCTCGATAGCACAACAACAATATTGGTCCACTGGTTAAGATTTTTATTTTCTTGATGTTGAAATGTAATCTCTATTGAAGGCTGTAGTCTCTGATCTTGCAGTAAGTGCTTCACATCCTTTTTATTTCTGTAAGCAGGTTGTGTGCTGCTTGTTCATGACACTTTCTCCAATCCTGATGCCACATTCCTCTTTCATAGAGTCCAACTTCTTGAATGATTTGCTTGGCATATGTATTGAACACGTATAGAGAAAGATTACAACCTTGACAGACTTCTTTCCAGATTATAAACTGTGCTCCTGTGTTCTGTAGGACAATTTCACTTGAGCACCATTATGTATTCTGGGATCCCCGTTCTTCTTAATGTTATTCATAATTTTTTTTTGCATATATAATGATCTTAAAAGAAGGCTTTTTTCCAGATTCTCCCCTTTATAGGCTATGCTGAATACAAACTATCTTTCTTTTTTATTTTAACCAAGTATCTTCCCCCTCTATGAACTTTGATAAATGACGTTAACTTTAGAAAGTTTTCTGAAGGGTCATAGGGTCGCTATGAGTCATGCTAGACTAGACCGGCAATCAACGACGACATCTCCCCCCCTAAATCAGTTCAGATTATGCAGCCATCTTGAGAGGGCATGTTGCATGAAGATCAAGCACCCAATCAGACAAATGTCTACAGATGTACTGTTGTTGTTGTCGTCATGTGCCGTCATTGCCTGCAATTCATAGCGACCCTGTGTATAACAGCTCTGAACCCTGCCCTATCCTGTGCCAACCTTATTGTCTCTGACAAACCTACCCCATTGCCCAGTCACTGAGTCAATCCATCTCATCGAGGGTCTTCCCCTCCTGTATTGTCCCTTCACCCTTCCAAAGCATAATGTCCCTCTCCAAGGATTGGTCCCTCCTTGCATCGTGCTCAAGTATGTCAGACAGAGCTTCAGAATCCTTGCCTCCAAGGACAGCCTGGTTTCACCCTCCCTAGAACAAGCTGTTTGTTCTCCCAGCAGTCCATGGTACATTCAGTGCTCTTCTCCAGCACCACAGCTCAAAGGCCTCAATTCTCCTTCTGTCATCCCTAGTCATTGTCCAGTTTTCTGATACATAGCACCTAATTACGAAAAGTGTGGCCTGGGTCAGGTGCACCTTAGTGTACAGAATGACACCGTTGCTCTTCAGTACTCTGGAGATGTCCCTGAGAGCAGAAAGATGCCATTTCCAAATGTCAGCTGTGAGCACCTCCTTTTTTGCATAATCTCTTCTAAAGATAACCCCACTTTTTGCCTCCAAACTCAATTCAACTCATTGCTATAGAATCAGATGGGAGGAAATTTCTCATCTTCCTCCCAACGAGCAGCTGGAGTATTCGAACTGTCTTGCCTTTGGGTTGGTAGCACAACTCCTTACCCACCTGACCACCAGAGCGACCCAAGTTTGTCTTCTTATTGTTGTTATGTACTGGTAAGTTGGAACCTACTCACAGCTGACCCTCCAGTGGGCTTTAAGAGGCAGTAAATCAAATGGAAAAGATGAACAATCTTCAT